CCGCTGGATGAATTCAAACCTCCAACCATCACGCTAGCATCTAGTGCTTAACCTTTTGCACTGCTCCAGGACTTTATAATTCAATGAATGGTGTTGGAGAAGAATACTGAAAGTACCATAGACTGCCAGAGGCACGAACAAATCCATATTGGAAGAAGTGCAGCCAGAAGAGTCCTTGGAAGCCAGGATAGCAAGACTTCATCTCTCATATTTTGACATATTATTAGGAAGGACCAGTCCCTGGAGGTGGACATCATGCTTGGGAAATTGGAGGGGCAGCAAAAAAGAGGAAGACCCTGAGCGAGATGGTTGGCACAGTGGCAGCAGCCATGAGCTCACACATGACAATTGTGAGGATTCTGTTGCCCATAGGGTTGCTGTGAATTGGCGCTGACTGGACAGCACCTAACAGCAAGAACATAATGTTCCAACATTAGGAACTTATCTAAGTGCTAACCTCAACTGCAGAGGAGACCTTTTGAGATAAACACGAATATATTATTTTCAAAGTGTGACTTTTTCTTCTGAGAACCTCCATATCATGGCAGTAGACATAGAAAAGATCTTTTCTGATCGTAGACCAGAACAGAGGCAGTGTTTCATGAAGTAGTCAGAGGTTCTTATGGTGGATACACAGAACAAACGACACAACAGCGCTCTTCTGTCTGTGCAGGTATGCAAGACCTGCCAGCTGATGCCATTGGGTGCTTTTTGTTTTTCTCTTTTTAATTTCAAAATCAATATTTTTAAAACTGCGAGTATTTCAATTTCCTGAAAGCTTAGTTACAAGTTTTGAAAGGCAGTGCTTCCGTTTCATAAAAACTTAGTTATGAGTTTGAAAGCCAGCCCACAGCTTTTTGATTTTGTGCGTAAACTGGCGTCAATTTGGAGGCAGACTGGAGGCCCCTTGTGGAGACTCCTTTGCCCTGGAGGCTGCCCCAAGTCTAGACAGGGGCCTATTCTGGCCAAGTGATTGTGCAGGACAACCCGCTTGTAAGGCACCTGCCTGCCATGCATGATATAGGCAGCAAGAACTTAAGTCTTTGTTGAGTAAATCTTTCTGTGAGTTCAGGGCACATGCTTCTTATCAGATGGGTCTGCCTGCGGGTCATTGCTCAATTCACTCATAACTCAGCAAGCAAGAATGAAATATCCAGAATCTTCTCAGAATTGTGCAGATACAAAGATGGATGATTCTCCTTGCTTGAAGGAATTTCTAAACTCGTTCTCACCTTTCATGCTTCAGACCTGGGTTTGACTCCCGGTAAATACACCTCCAGTCCCTGGCTGGCATTGGAGGCATGTGTGTTGTTATGAGCCTGTGATGCAGATTTTAGCAGAGCGTCCAGACCATGACAGACTAAGAAGAAAGGCCCAGTGATGTGTGTCAGAAACTCAGCCAGTGGAAAGCCGTGGATCAGAACTGTCCAAGCCTCTTGGACATGGGGTGGCCATGTCTCAAGGGCTAGCAGCAAAATCAAGGCATTTATATAATGTACATTCTAACTTGCATACAAGTAAAACTGTGGAGGACTGGACAAAGACAGTTATCACTCCTCTGAAGATTCTTTTTTCTTACATACCATAAAAATGTATTGAATAACCTTTATTGGTGAATTAGCATTTTGTGAATTCAAACAAAGATAGAGGATCTTTGGATGGCAGACAAAATAAGAGACTATTTCTAGCATCAATTGGCAGAAATTGAAAAAATGTTACTTTTCAGATGCTGCTGCTGGAAGTATGAACTGTTACATTTCAGAGAGCAATTTGACAGTATCTAGTTAACAGCAACAAAAGTATAGCTGAAAGTGTACCAACCCATTGACCCAACAGGGACACTCCTGTTGCCCTGCAAAAATGTTCACATGTGTGTAAGAAATTTTTGTATAAAAGAGGTCACCACAGTCTTGTTTTTAAATATAAAACAAGATAAAATGAAATAAATGTTTAGTGGTAGGAACATTAGTAAATTGTATTACAGTCCTGGTGTGGTGCTGTGGGTAAACTCGTTTGAACTGCAATGTCAGTGATTCAAGCTCACCAGCTGCTCCTTGGAAACCCTATAAAGGGCCTCTATGGGTCAGAATCGACTCGATGGCACTTAACAACAACAACATTACAATCTTACATTGACACCTTGAACTCTGGTTGAAGTGAGTAAACCAAAGAACATCTGCTGCCACAGGTGCATATCAAAACTATCAATGAAAAGAGGAAGCTCTGGGGGTTAGGCATAAGGCTACTAACCACAGGGTCGGCAGTTCAAACCCACCAGCTGCTCATGGGAGAAAGATGAGGCTTTCTGCTTCTGTGAAGATTGAGTCTCTGAAAGCCTAAGGAGCAGTTCTTTCGTGTCCTGTAGAATTGCTGTGCGTCAGAACTGACTTGGTGGCAGTGGGTGTTTTGGTACGGTATGACACATCAGCAGGACACCATTCATTTAGAGTTCTAACCACAAGATCAACCAATACGAGGGGACTAAAAAAGGGAATTAAACTATAATGGAATTTTCCCACCAACTTTATGAAGCTCCCTCATGCATGCATACGTTTTATGGAAACATGTAGCTATGTGCATGTGTAAAACAGAAAGTGATGTGATGAACCCCAAGTTCAGGTAGCTGCCCATTTCCATCAAATGAGGGAGAGCGGTGGTCAGGAAGCTGCAAAGTTGGCTGGAGTTTTTATTTCTTATTCAAAGCAGGAAACATGTATGATAATTGTTAGCACGTTGTTGTTGGTAGCCTCCGTCGAGTTGGCCCTAACCCACGGTAACCTTGGGCATGCTGGGAAGAAATGCTACTTGGCCTGCACAAATCTCAGCATGGGCTGCGGATTGGGCTGTTGTGATCTGTGGACTGTTTTCATTGGCTGGTTTTCAGAAGTCGACCTTCAGGCCATTCTTTCTCACCTGTCTCAGTCTAGAAGCACTGCTGAAACCCGTTTGGCATCACGGCAACATAGAAGGGGGCTGTGAATGAGGGACGTTAGCCGGGAACCCAACCCAGCTCTCACTCGTGGTCAAAAACCATGATAAGTGACGTACTCTGAGTGCCAGGTATGGGTAATTCAGTCTGTCCATCTGCAGGTGGAGGAACTGAGAGGGGCAGCTTCCACATAGGTAGGAAGCATCGAGGCCAACACTTCACACGGACACGGCGCTCCAGGGCCAGTACTCACTGTTCTCAAACCCAAACCAAACCCACTGCCATCATCATTTCCAGCTCACAGCGAGCCTGCAGGGCAGAGTAGGCCTGCCCCTCAGGGTTCCCAAGGCAGTGATCTCTATGGAAGTACACTGCCACATTTTTCTCTCATGGAGTGGCTGCTGGATTTGAACCACCCATCTTGTGGTTAGCGGCTGGGTGCTTTACCACTGTGCCACCTAGCCTCCTCAACACCTGTCCAGATGCTCACTTTGCCGTAACTGGGTTGTAGGTACATAGGTGTTGTGTTTGTTTTCTACTTTTCTATATGCTTGAGGTATTTAACAACAAAAATAAATGCTGTCAGGGTTTAGATTAATGGTGGAGATTTGTTTCTGTGTTTCTCTAACAAAGTCATTGTCCAGCAGGAAACAGGCAGGAATCCATATGAGTAAGAAGCAATTGCATTTACATATTTGTAGCAGTTTAAAAAAAAAAAAATCCTCACATTTTACTTAGTGGTTGGAAAGTATCAGAATTCTTACTGTGTGTTCAGTTTCACATTATGTTCAGTTATGGGAGAAAAGTTGGGGAGCAGAGGAGAATGAAAGGGGGATCATGGAAGCAATAGCATTGCTAGAGAGAAAAAAGTAAAGACAAAATTCTCTAGAAAGAATGAAAGGATTAGTGTAGAATGGATTTTTCACTTGGTAATTTTTTTTATTTTTTTTTTGCCTGACACTGAAAATGCCCAAAAGGCAAGCTCTTAGCAGATATTTAAACAGGTTCGTTGCACTTTGACCCCCGCTGAGAAACTACATTTCCACCCCAGATACACTGAATCAGGTATACTTATAAAACTCACATGGGGATCTGGTTTAACTGTAGACTCTGACTCTGTATGCCTGGGGTGGATGGGCAACTTCTCAACAGGGGGTTGTACCAGAATGAATCAGTTTGAAGAGCTGGTTATTACTTTCGTTTGTGAAGCTATTCATAGCGGTCCCTGTACCAGGTGCTGTGGTCAGGCCTTTGCACACTTGGTCTGTTTTGGTTTCCTAACATAGAGTTCTGATTAGATACAACTGTTGGTCTCAGTTGATAAAGAGAAAATTGAGGCTCAGGAAAAGTAGCTTGTTACAAGGTCATCTCTAGTAAAAGGCAGCTATCTGATCTGATTCCAGAATCTGTCTGACTGGTTTCAGAGCACATTTCCCTGATGTGTTTGGAGCAGTCACAGCAACGCTTTGAGGCAAATTTATTTTTAGGATTGGCAAGCCGAGTCACTAAAGAGCAGATGAGGTGAGATCACAGAGAGAATCAGAAGATTGGACCGGTGTCAAAAAGATGAGTTTAGAGAGTTTTCCATCTATTAAAGCAGGGGTGGGGAACGTCCAGCTGCAGGCCGTATTGTTATTGTTAAGTGCTGTTGAGTCAGTTCCAACTCCTAGTGACCTTATATAGGGTTTCCGAGGAGCAGCTGGTGAGTTTGAATCAATGACCTTGTGGTTCAAATCAACCTTGAGGTCGCGTGCCTTTCCTGTGGCGCCACACCAGGCCTTCTAACTCTTTGGTTTGGCCCTGCCAAGGCAACCGCAGTTTCAGCCGTCACATTCAGGATGAGTTAATTAAATGCTGAACCAAATATAGCAGGCTAATTTTTTTTTTTAATGTTTTATTGTGAATTATGTGATAGTTTACATGGGAGAAGCAGGCTAATTTTTAAGGTGATAATTTTGTATGACCCTCAGATGATGTTACAAATATCTAAATGGCCCTTGGCAGACAAAAGGTTCCCCACCCTCCCTTAAAGGAAGGAAGGAAAAACTGACTTCTTGTTTTGCCTTTTCAGACATCACAGGTTTCTGCAGAGACTATTGGAAGTGAATTACCACCTAGCGCCACACGATTTAGGCTAGATCTGCTGAAAAACAAAGCGAAACGATCCCTGACAGAGTCTTTAGAAAGCATTTTGTCCCGGGTAAGTAGCATAATTTCTCCTGATTCATATTAAATCCTTTTAAAAGACAAAGACTAAATTCTCTGCTTTTGAAAAAGGGAAAACCTTTTTATTCTCTTCTCAGTCGTAGAGCAATGTTATCTACATTTAAATTCAGCTTTTAACTAGGCTGCATTGCAGTCTGTGCAGTTAATTAAGTTACTTACTGACCAGTTTCAGTAAAGAGCAGAGATTAGATATGTTGAGGGAGATTCTGTTCACCTCAGTGTCACTAGTACCACTTAGAAAACCAGTTCCTTTCAGCTGTTGCTATGTGTTTGGAACTCTGTGACACAAGAGGTCAGTAAAGTCAGAGACTCAGGGCCCGAATCCTACCCATAGCCTGTGTTTTAAATAAAGTTTCATTGTAACACAACCACATCCATTAGTTTACCTGTTGGCCAAGGCTGCTTTTGCACAGAGTTGAATTGTTGCCCCAGGCACCACATGGCTTAAGCATAAGAAAGTTATCATGTGGCTCTTTGTAGGAAACGTGGTGCTGTGGGTTAATGTGTTGGACCGCAAGGTCGGTTTGAATTGGAAGGTTGGTGGTTCAAACTCACCAGCTGCTCCTTGGAAACGGGTCTCCATGAGTCGGAACTGAACTTGACGACACTTAACAGCAATAACATAGGTAGAACAAAGTACATGAATACACCGATCTGGAGAGTTCTTTAAGAAGTTACCTTCCTCCTCCTCCTCCTCCTCCACATGACGTACTCACACACACTCTCCCACACACTTTAGCACTCGCTCTACCTCATCTTGATGTAGCCTCTCCTCTGTCTACCATTCCGTCCACATAATGGATAGACAAGGTGTTTTAGAACATTTTGTTTGGTGTATAGATAAGTTTTTCTTTAAAAAAGGCTGGCAGTATTGATTGTCTTAATGTACATATATGCTCAGTAGCGTTTCTTACTGGAGAGAGGAGCATTTTTCTGAGCATATTTAATTATTTTTTTGAAAAGTTTCCAAAAAAGTTTTTGGAAAATGCCATTATCTTTTAAGTCCATTTTTTCATGAACTTTTTGAATGCCTCCTCGGAAATCAGCCTGTGTCTTTGTGAAAGCCTCAGAGACCATGACTTGATTGCCTTTTCTTATGCAGGGTAACAAAACCAGAGGCCTACTGGAACATTCTGCGAGTGTGGATCTCGACAGCTCCGTGTCCAGCACGCTAAGTAACACCAGCAAAGTGAGCTCATCCCTCTTTCTATGACATCTGGCCAAGACCAGCACTCGGTCTCACTCGGTCTCCAACCTACAGGACCCTATCAAAAGAAGCCTAATATCGCCAGTCATGAAAAGTTTGGGACTTCCAAACTTCTTGGCAGGGGCAGGTGGCTATAGGATTAGCAGTGGGCTGCTAACTGAAAGGTCGGTGATTCAAATCCACCAGCCAGTCTTCAGCAGCTCTATACAGGGTCACTGTGAGTCGGAACCAACTTGAGAGCACTTCACCAACAGCAAAGCAGCCTCAGAAGCTACTTTTCTGTTGTTGTTTTTGTAAATTTATGTAGCACATAACTTTTGCCAGTTCAGCTTTTGATAGGTGTACAACTTTCTGACAGCAGTTGCAGTAGGCTTTTTAGCCCTCGGTCCTGGAGTTGTGTCAGATCCTAAAAGTATTATTTTTATAACAGAGTACATGGCGGCTTCATAAACAGTCAAGGTCACAATTGTAAATAATTAGGACCAAATTTATCAGCGTAGCCAGTGGATTTTTCCTTCTACTTAAGCATCCTGTTCAATATTCAAAATAATAAAAATTGGAGAAGCCTCAAAAAGTGAGCTTATGAATTCAGAAAACTATGAACTTAAGTTCTTGAAACTTTACCACCAACTGACTGTACAATCAGTTTAAAAAGTTAAAAAAGTTTAACTTTTTAGCTCCCGGCAAGGGTTTGGGGGTTTGCACTGGGCTGTGTGCCAGCTTCCGCTTCTACTATCGGAGTGCCCTCCTATGGAAGAGGGAAGGAATTTTTGTGGAGGCTAGCTCTTTAGCAGAGGATCTGTTTTAACCTTTTTAAGACCCATTTGAGTTTTTTTGTTTTTGCTGAGACCATGTGTTTTCAGTAATGGAATGAAAGAATGAAATAAATTTGAATGAAATAAAGATAACCAAAACAATTGAGGTAATACGAAGTTTTATACAATTAAACAGGATGTGTTCCTGTAGAATAAGCACTGGATGGCTAATTGCAAGGTCAGAGGTTCAAACCCACCAGCTATGAGTTGGAACTAACTCTTCTCTGTTGATGGTCCTAGGTAGGGACCTCCGCTCCTAGACTGAAAAGTTAATCACTCCCCTCCTTGCTATAAAACATCTACCTTTAGATTTCCAACCCTCACAATCAGTCCTGATAACAATTATTCACTATTGTATCATAAGAGACCTATCTGCATTTCATTTTATCAGCTCTGCCTAGTCAGATTGAATACTACTCACTGGAGATTCTACCTTCCTGCATACCCTCTGGATCTAGGTCCCTCTTGAAAGCTTGTAAGCCAGTCACTTCGTGCCTTTGTAGCCGTTCCCCCACCCCCACCCCCCACCCCCCATTTTGGGTAGCCAATGTCCAAGTTGCCCATCCCTGTCTACTCTGACACACCTTGAGTTTTGAAGATAATTCTGAAAGAAATTCAATTTTTAGGAAGTCAACTATCTGTGTGAATTGTGTATATGTATCTTTATGTGCAGTTTTTTTTTTTACTACCTTTTTTATAATCCTGAACATTCATAAAGAATTGAAAAGATGTACTGTTTTATGTGATTGTATCTAGTCTAGTAAATTGATCATATAGAAGCTGCAAAGAAGCTGAACATCTGAATGGCTTTCACTTACCCAATTGAGCAAAGGGTTAATTAGCACTTTCATGTGTTTGGAGAGAAATTAATGAGAAATGAGAGGAACAGATTTGCATAATGGAGATTGTTTGCTGTGATATGCAGTGTCAGACAAAGCTTTGTTTAAAATTCTTGAATTAGAAGAATCTTGGGGACCATGAAATCCTGACGAATAAAAAATTGCAGCTAGGTTTAAAGTAATTAATGTTTCACAGTATGTTTTTTATTGAAGCTTTTCCTATGGAAAAGTTAAATGTATATGCCTTCTTCCCTCAATAAATGTAAACGTATTGTCTTAGAATTCAAATTGTCTATGCTTAAAAGGCACTTGAATGAGCAGATTTAGACTCTCTAGTCCTTTACATTAGTAAAACTTTGATCTACTTGCATGGGATATCAAAGATACGGTCTGGTGATTTCCACATTCCATTGGGTCACCTCTCTTTGGAATGAGCACAAATACAGATCTTTTCCAATCAGTCGGCCAGATAGTTGTCTTCCAGATTTCTTGGCAGAGATGAGTGCATGTCTCCAGTGCTGCCTTACTTTCTTGAAAGATTTCAATTTTTATTCCATCAATTGCTGGTGCCTTGTTCTTTGCCAATTCCTTCAATGCCCCCTGGACTTTTTCCTTCAGTATCATTGGCTCTTGATCATGTGCTACCTCTTGAAAGTTCTCTTGACAGAGAACTTCAGAGGTTAAAGCTGGATTCAGAAGAGGACGTGGAATGAGGGATAACATTGCTGATGTCCGATGGATCTTGGCTGAAAGCAGAGAATACCAGAAAGATGTTTGTATGTGCTGTGGAGTCGTTTCCGACTCATAGCGACCCTGTATAGGGTTTCCGAGGCTGTAAATCTTTACAGAAGCAGAACGCCTCATCTTTCTCCTGCGGAACAGCTGGTAGTTTCGAACTGCTGACCTTGAAGTTCATAGCCCGATTCATAACCACTACACTACCAGAGCTCCTTCATGTTTACCTGTGCTTTATTGACTACGCAAAGGCTTTCGATTGTGTGGATCATGACAAGCTATGGACAACATTACGAAGTATGAGTGTATTCCAGAACACTTAATTGTGCTCATGAGGAATCTGTACCTGGACCAAGAAGTAGTTGTTCTAACAGAACATGGGAACACTGAAGTTTAAGAAAGGTGTGCCACAGGGTTGTATTCTTGCCCTATACTTATTCAATCTGTATACTGAGCAAATAATCCAAGAAGCTGGGTTGTATGAGGAAAAACATGGCATCAGGATTGGAGGAAGACTCATTAACAATCTGTGATATGCAGATGATACAACCTTGCCTGCTGAAAATGAAGAGGACTTTAAATACTTATTAATGAAGATCACAGCCCTCAGTATGCATTGCATCTCAATGTAAAGAAAACAAAAATCCTCACCACTGGGCTAATAAACAACTTTATCAACGGAGAAAAGATTGAAGTTGTCAAGGACTTCATTCTTCTTGCATCAACCATCAACACTCATGGAAGCAGCAGTCAAGAAATCAGATGACGTATTATATCAGGCAAATCTGCTGCACAAGACCTTTTTAAAGTGTTGAAGAGCACAGATGTCAGCTTGAGGACTAAAGGTGTGCCTTACCCAAGTCGTGGTATTTTCAATAATCTTATATACATGCGAAAGCTGGACAATGAACAAGGAAGACCGTGGAAGAATTGATGCTTTTGAGTTCTGGTGTTGCAGGAGAATATTGAAAGTGCCATGAGCTGCTAAGAGAACCAACAGATCTGTACTGGAAGAAGTACAGCCAGAGTGCTCCCTGGAGGCTAGGATAGTCAAACTTCATCTCTCATTCTTTGGACATATTGTCAGGAGGGACCAGTTGCTGGAGAAAGAGACCATGTTCGGTAAAGTGGAGCGTCAGAGAAAAAGAGGAAGACCCCCCAGCAATATGGACTGGCAATATGGCAGCATTAGTGGGCTCAAGTGTGGCAACAATTGTCAGGTTGGCCCAGGACCGGGCGTTGTTTTGTTCTGTTGTGCATAGGGTCAGTATGAGTTGGTACCGATTCAATGGCACCTAACAACAACAATAACTTCAAGTCCTTCACTGAATGCATTTGTTCCTTTTTCACTTGATTGATTTATCCTTTCTTATATTTGCATTACAGGCAAGCTGGTGTCCTTCCATGTATGTTTTTTTGTTTGAGAAAAATATATTGACCACTAACTATGTGTTAGATGCAATGCTAAGCATGAGTCTGCAACAGAAGTAGTAATAATGCATTTTTTAAAAGAGTGTGCCTTAAAATCATGAAGTATGTAAATGCCTTTTTCATTCTCAAGTATTTCAATGTCCACTCAAACACATTCATAAGTACTGAATAAAAATGGTAACTGACATTTGTGTGGCTTCTTGGCAGTATACAGAGTACTTCCAGCTATATTACCTTGCTTAATCCTTAACATCCAGTGATACATTAAAAAATAATATATATATATATATATACACACACACATATACTTTCAATATAGATGTTCCTTTTACAGATGAGGAAATGGGCAGAAGTTTATGATTTGTCCTGAGTAGAGGCAACAAATACCTAGAGATTCCCCATAATCTTAGTATGTTTGGCGTTTTGTTGTTGTTAAGTGCTGTTGCGTCATTTCTGATTCACAGGGACCTGCGTAGGTTTGCCGAGCAGTGGCTGGTGGCTTTGAACCACTGACCTTGCAGTTCAGACCTTGTAGCCCAAGTCCAGTACTTATACTGTAGCACCATAACAGGACTCTTAGTATCACATTCAGAGAGCCTTAAAATGTGGCTATAAAATGTTTGACTGCACTTTACAGCAATTAAACAATAAAACAGTGGAGCCCAATTATAAAGCAGTGCAGGGAAAATGGTTATTAATATGCTGGGATACTAACTGGAAGATTGGAGGTTCGAATGCTCTCAGAGGTACCTCAGAAGGAAGACAGTTCTACTCTTGACAGATGACTCAGAATAGTTTCTGGTGTTTATAAGCAGTATTAGAAAGGTCGGTTGCTAGAGAGAAGAAATTCTTTATAGCCTTGCTTAGATTACTTAATGCAGGTTTTCTTTTTTAATGCTACAAAATTACATCCTGTATTTGACAATTTGATTTTAATGGACCATTGTTTCCTTCCCTGGTGTTTCCTCTGGATGGTATTGTAATCAGAATATGGAAATGTTTTCTGTACTGGAGTGGTGGTTTTGGTTGTGTGCTGTAGATTTGATTCTAGTTTATTGACCCCGTAGGATCATTTTGAGGGGAGTAGTTCACGAGATACTTCTTCCCACATAGCTGCTGCTGGGGTCAAACCACTGACCTTTGGACTGGCAGCCAAATGCTTAAATCATTGCGCTACCAGAGCTCCTGGGATTACAAATGGGGGAATGCTATAATCTCTCCTGTGATATGCCTGATCTGGGAGTCCTGGTGTGGCCCGGTAGCCATAAGCTCTGGAACGAAAGGTCAGTGTGAATTGCCAGGTTGGTGGATCAGATACACCAGGCACTCAGTGGAAACCCTATTATACATGGTCACTATGAGTGGGAACCGACTGGGTGGCACTTAGCAACAACTACAATGTCTGATCTGCTGTCTGTTTCCTGCCAGGAGCCATCTCTGTGTGAGAAGGAGGCCTTGCCCGTGTCCGAGAGCTCCTTCAAGCTCTTGGGTTCCTCGGATGACCTATCCAGTGACTCGGAGAGCCAGCTCACCGAAGAGCCTGCTCAGCTCTCACCACAGCAGGGCTTCCGGAGGCGAGCCAACACCCTGAGCCACTTTCCCCTGGAAAGTCAGGAACATCCGGAACCTTCCGAGGTGTCTCCCGGGGTCTCGCAAAGGAAACTTATGAGGTATCACTCAGTGAGCACAGAGACACCTCATGAGCGAAAGTAAGATTTGTTCAAAATGTACATTTATTATATAACTAGCTGGGGTATATCTGTGATTAACCAGGTATGTGCATCCCACCTGTTTGAGGAGTGAAGAGTAACCTGAGGCAGGTTTCACTCTTAAAAAAGATAAAACTTGAAACAGTGGCATGTTCTTTCTCACTTTACTCTCTTAAGAAATACGTATTTGTAGGAGACTTGTTACTTGTGTAAGTAACAAGTACAGGTACTAAGTGTAAGTCTTACAGGGAAACCGGTAAAAGTGAGCAGAAATAGACTTTAAATGTGTAATAATTATTCCTCAAACAATACAAGTGGCATTGTTAGCATTGGATCCGAGCTGCTGGTTTGAGAGCTAGCAAGCTGATGATGAGCACCCACCTAAATAGTGGGAAGACGTACAGAATGCACTTAGAATGCACAGGAAAGTAAAGCGCAAGGGGGCTGCCCAGTTTACAGAAACGCTCTGTATAATGCCTGCCTGTGGTATTTGCATAAAAATGCAGTTGCCTGTTCTTTGGAAAACCTGGAACAGAACTGCTGTGCAGTGGAGAGGCTGTGATCCGTGCCCAGCGGAGTGTGAAAGGTACTCAGGACACACGGCGACAGGAAGGCTGAAATGGACTCAGACATTTTGGGTTCCAGTCCCAGCTTTGTCATGAATTAGTCATAACCTGGACACATTTGCATACCCTCTCTGTATGACAGGATCGGAGCAGACATTTCCTCCCATGTGAAAATTCTAGATTCTTCTAGCAAGAAATAGTTGGGCTCTAAAGAGCAGTTGGAATTTTCTGGTTATAGAGATGGATAAGTCGTATGTTGGCAGAGGTTCTTCCTGTTCCTCCTAGGGTCCCTTGGTGGTTCATTTGGCCCTGGTAAGTTCCAGAGACTATTAATGGACACAGACTTATCTTCAAAAATAGCTTTCAAAACTCTTAGAAATTCCTCACTTAGCAAAGCAACATGAGTTAAGGTTTTCATTTTGTACAGTCACTGGAAGCCACTGGACATAGAAACTCGTACATGGATAGTGGAGAGTCTGCAGAGCTGTGTGAAGTGTTTTCAGGGAAAATGTGACAATCTGGAAAGATACAGGAGAGCCTCTTGTGTTTGTCATGAATCAGCCTTTGAATGTAGTTAGCTGGACAACTGTGATCACAAAAGCAGAGCATACTTCAGAAGCTAACATTGAATGCGTCTGACATTTCAGAGACAAGCAGAGTTTGGCTGAAGTTTATGAGGCTCTTCTGTCCTAAGAACCTATATTTTATGCTACTTCTGTTTTTGCTTTACTACTGCTAGGTCTGCAGTTGAAATCCACCAGCCGTGCCTCGGAAGCCCTATATAAGGTCTCTATGAGTCAGAACTGAATCGACGGCACCTAACAGTAACACTGTATCCCCCATTTCTGGCAATTACAGAGATTGTACAAACCTTCCTCTCTGGAGAGTCCTAGTTCTGCCAAGTCTGCAATTTCACACAGTCCAGCGGTAGTAGGGAATCTATATCTCTGCCAGGCCACTCTCCTTCTCTCCTAAGAACGCAGCTTCGTCATGGATCCTGCTGGACATAGGTGATGAGAGGGTAGAGGAATGTCTGTCTTTCTCTCTCGTAAGCATGGCCCAGTTTTCTTTCTGCCCCACTGTGAATCCTTTTTCATTTACCTACAGGACACAAGACACTGAAACCCAGGACAGGAGAGTTTATTTTAAAGAAAAAGATGGCGTTCTGGATTTTCTTTCATTTTCTTATACTTTTATTTTTGTTCACTTTTAATTTTTCCTGTCAGTTCCTAAAAAGGGAGTATAGGTAGTCCCCTACTTAGAACATATTCCAGTTATGATGAACCACACCTACAATTTTAGATCTTTTGGCCCAGTTTATCATGAATATGTAGGACATACAATGTTAAAACTCCAAAGACTATAAAACCTATGTTTATTTAAGACACTGATAAGAAAAGGCAATAATAATGAAAACTTAAAAAAAAAATAAAAAGGATTCAACTTACATCAGAACCAATTTCCCATACAGTCATCCTAACGGAATCCTGTTGTAAGTTGGGTACTACCAGTACAGAGCCAAGTGCTGCTGGGAGCGTAGACGTGTGGAACGTGACCATTAAAACAACCTTCCACTGACTCTGCTTTTGACTGAACACCACCTTTGCCAGAGGGACACTTGGGGTGTGGGAAAGATGACACAGAAACCTACTCCGGGTGATCATTTGGATGTAAATAATGAGACAGAAGCAGCCGTGCCCAGCTTCCCTCTTTCTCCGAGATGACCTTCCAGCGTCCCTGCCCCTTTTCCCCCTCTAACCCTCCCGTGCTTTCTCTCGAATTGCTATCTAGTGCGAACCGTCCACCTGCTGGCGAGTCCAGAAGTGGCGTAGGTCAGCCTTCAACTCCTGTTTCTCCACCTCGTCTTAATCCCTCTGCCTCCTCGCCACATTTTTTTAAGTACCTAAAACATAACTCAAGTGGAGAACCAAGTGGGAATGTTGTGCCAAAGAGGTGAGCACAGTGCATGGCAAATTCCATGTCGTTTGTCTTTCTGGAAACTCACACCCTGAGAGGTGGTTGGAGGGCACATCTGCGCAAAGAAGCTGGGGCCACTGTCTGTGTGCCTGCGCTTGCGGCTGTGTGGTTTTCGCTTTTGGTTCCAGGCTGTCATTTGAGCCGACTTCATTTTACAATTAATTAATCTTCTCAAAAGTATGATAAAAATGGCTTGATGACAAGCTGTTTTACACACACTTACTTTTCACATGCCTCTGCCCAGACACACGCTTTCACAGATTAACAACACACTCCCCTCATGAGAGTCCCTTGGTGACTTCCTGTTGGAAGTCACCTTGCTATCTGCTCACCCAAAGCTTGGAGGTTGGAGTCCCCACAGGCACCCGCAGTAATGGCCTGGTAATCTGTTTTCTGAAAACCCCGCCATTGAAAACCCTGTGGAGCTCAGTTCTATTCTGACACCCTAGGGGTTGCCACGAGCTGGAATTAGATCGGTGGTTACTGGGAGTTGTGCCATGTGTTCTGGAATCGGTGCTGTATCAGAGCCTTCCTGATTAACATAGGAAGATGGACTGATTATTTTAAATTAATTGATTTCATTCATTTAAGATAGAATTTTATTGCTTGAACACGGAAATTAAATCTCATTTGTAAATTGCAGTTTCTTACCTGGTTTGCTTTCCTTAGTATTAGAGCTAAAATGTTTCCTTTGTTTTGAAGTTTATGTTTTATACTTTGTGTGTTTATGTTTCTTTACCCTAAACTCTGTTTTCAACCACACTCTCAGCATCTCCTACCGTAATGCCCTGAGGAAAAAACTTCATTCTTCTTCCTCTGTGCCAAATTTTCTAAAATTTCTGGCTCCTGTAGATGAAAATAACACCTCTGACTTTACGAACACAGAAAGGTAGGGCCCCATTTAGATTTATTATGCGTAGGCTTGATAAGTGCTCAACTAGTGATAGATATACAGCGGGGGGTTTCTTGTTTTTGTTTTTTTTAATAGTGGTTCTTTAGTCATTTAAAAAATCACCTTCACGAAACCTATTGTAGCTTCCCTCTTACACATTTTTCTTATTGGTTGTGATTTAAAATTGTCTAGTCAGCCTCTTCAGTTTTGATTGTTGCTAAGTGCTGCTGCGTCACTTCCGACTCATATAGTGACCCTGCATAGGGTTTCCGAGGAGTGGCTGCTGGTTTTGAACCATCAACCTTGTGGTTAACCTACAGTGCCAAACCAGGATTAGTTTATTAGAAGACCAAGGAAAGTCTTAACCAATTCTCCAAAGCAATAGCAGTGTTTCTAGACTGTGAGAACGAGGCCATCATAGATACGTTAGGAAGGATGTCTGACTGTTAGTTCAGGAGCTTGCTTGTTGTTGTCAGATGCCACGGAGTCAGTTCTGACTCATAGTGACCCTATGTAGTGTTAGCAGAGTACAACACTGCCTGGTCCGGCGCCAGCTTTACAATTACAGCTGTGCATGAGCCCGTTGCTACAGCCGCTGTGTCTGTACATCTCATTGAGTGGCTTCTTAGTTATGCGTGTGTTTATTCAGGTACAAATGAAAAGGGCTTCCCCAGGTTGTGCAATGCATAGGAAGAAAATGAATCGTTTATAATATGTAAAGAGCTTTGATGGCATAGTGGTTATGAGTCGGGCTGCTAACCTTAAGGTCAGCAGTTCAAAACTGTTTCGTGGGAGAAAGATGAGGCTTTCTGTTCCCATAAAGATTTACAGTTTTGGGAACCCTATTCAGGGTCACTGTGAGTCAGAACCAGCTCAACAGCACTTAACAGCGGCAGCATGGATAGATAGATGATAGATACCCATGCTTTGTTTTGTCCTTAGAAAATACAGATGCTGACAGTCATCATCAGGAAGTGTCTAGATAACTATGATCTTAATGGTTCCATGTTAAATTGACATGAAGCCCTTTTCACTTTGGGGGCGGGGCCGTCCATGGTGATGCAGGCAGTGTCTCCCCCCCCCCCCCACACACACACACACAAACACCACTGCCGATTAGGCCCCGGTGTCAGTGCCCACTGTAAGTAGTGATCTCAGGAGATGTCCCTTGAGAAGTTAATGGTCTGTGTAGCCTACTTTACAGTAGAAACTTCCTTTGGAGGATGTTGAGCCATGTGGTGTGCTTGACTTAAATCCAGGAATTGCTTAACTGTGTTTGTTTATCCAATGAAAACGTTTAATTTCAGTTCTTTGTTAAAAAGCAAAATCGGAACAACAACCTCTTGGTGTCATTCCACCAGTCATAATTCTTTATCCTGTAATTTTAGGGACTTTGAATCCAAAGCAAACCACCCAGGTGACACCAGTGGGACCCCCGTGAGGACACGAAGGCATTCGTGGCGGCAGCAGATCTTCCTCCGAGTGGCCACCCCACAGAAAGCATGTGATTCTCCTAGCAGATATGAAGGTAAGGCTCTCATGGGAATGAGCCTACAGATTCGGGCCTGAGTTTGTTCCTGCACAGTCCGTGGAAGAAAAAGTGAAATGAGATTCTGAGTCAAAGCCATTTCCTGTCTTAAAGTCCCCTGAGTGAGAGGGTCCTCATTCCAGGTAAATCTGTTGACAGGACCTGTGCGGAGCAGGCTGCCACTGCTGAGCTCCTGACCTCTCACCCAGCCTGCCCTGGGCCTGATTCAGAGGGTCAGCTGAGGCTTTCTACGTCTCTCACTCCGTGCCCACGGGCTTCCTGAGCTTGCCTGTTTTCCCCTCTCAGCAAGCTGAGTGTAGGTTTATGCACAGACTATAGCATGATGCGGCTATAGAGGCATTCAGCCCCCAGTCCTCTGGCCACACTTGGAATACCCCTGCCGGGCTCAGTTACTGTCGGTAAGTCTGGTGTCATGGGAGGACCATCTTGTATCTTTGAGTTCCTCTTATAAGAGCCAAAGAAATATAGAATGTGCTGTAGTTTATTCTTAACCCAAACCCATTTCCAGAATCACTTCTGACTCATGGGGACTTTATAGGACAGAGTGAAACTGCCCCACGGGTTTTCAAAAGCTGTAAAATCATTATGGGAGCAGACTGTGTCATCTTTCTCCTGAAGACCCACTGAGTGGGTTTGAACTACCAACCTTTCACTTGGCAGTCAAACTCTTATCTGCTGAACCACTAGGGTTCCTATATTGAGTTATGACCAAAAAATGAGATTAAATGCAGTTCCCTTGGTGACAAGATTTTTTTCTTTGCCACCGATAACAAATTTTCAGCAGCATATACTTCCTTTTCTTAATGTTCTTTAACGGTATCATTTTTTCCTTAAAAAAATACAAAGCGAGGCAATGGAACTCCCAAGATGTTTTGAGTTCTTCAGAATGAGTATAGATTCACTCTTGTGCCTTGACTGACTTCTCTGCTTCTCATAAGAAGCAAAAAAATCACTTGCCGTTGAGCCAGTTATGACTTATGCCTGTCAGAGTAAATCTGCTTCTTAGGGGTTTCGATGGCTGAGTTTTCGACAGTGGATTACCAGTCCTTTCTATTGCGGTATCTCCAGGTAGACACAAATCTCCAACCTTTTGGTTAGCAACCATTTGTTTAACCATCAGCTTAACCGTACCACTAAAAACCCACCCTTAAAAAACAGCGTGGTCTAATCCAAAAGCTGTAAACTGGGTCCCCTGGAGCTGCCATGATGGGGGACACTATCAAAGGAGTCCTTCCCCTTCTTTTACCCTCCCCTCTTCTCCAGTCTTCATCTGTCAGCCATCTTACCCCCACCCCCCACCCTGCGCTCCTCCCCTTTTCCCTTTACCTCTCTCTTCTGTCTCTCCTTCACCCTTTCTTATTCCCTTCCCCAGGTCTCTCTGACATTTATTTTATTTTTTTAAAGTTTTTATTGTGAATTATGTGGTAGTTTAAATGGGAGAACATGAGCTTTACATTCATCCTATCTTATTTTGTTTCATTGCAATGATTAGAATCCCCTCCAAGCATCATCAACCAATCAAAGGGTATACCCCTCAAGCCTGCCCCCTGGTCGTCAGCACACAGCCCTTCTCCCTCTCTGGGTCTAAAGTCTCCAGGCGTTCCATCTCTTTACGTCCTCGTCTCTGCCTCCATCTCAGGTGTCACTGCTTCTCTGGGTAGGGTCCTGCTCTCCGCTCTTCTCCCTTGATGGTCCCAGGGACCTCTGCTCCTAGACTGCGAAATCAGTCACTCCTCTCCTTTTGCTATAAAATGTCCACCTTTACATTTCCAACCCTCATAGTCAGTCCTGATAGCAATTATTCACTATTGTACCATAAGAGTCTCATCCCCATCTCCTTACATCAGCCCCACCCAAACAGATTGGAAACCAACTCAATGGAGATTCTACCTTCGCGTGCACCTTCTGGATGAAGGCGCCCTCTTGAAAACTTGTAAGCCAGTCACTTCTTGCCTTTGTAACCTCCCCATTTTGGGTAGCCAATATTCAAGTTGCCCATCCCTGTCTACCCTGTGTATCAAGGGGGTGGAAATGGTCCTTGCTGTAAAGATTTGTTCCCTCTTTTGAGCTACTGCATCCATAGGTATAGGTCAAGTTCATAAAATTGTATCGGATTACTCTTTTTTTCCTCTTCTTTCTTCTTCTAGTTGAGTGCTGATCATTCAGCCATTGAAGCCAGATTAAGTGGGTACTATCTGCAAGTGTGGGTGTTCTTGTGCATATGTTCTTTCTTCTTATCAACTGGATGTTTCACTCTTCACTCTAGTCCTCTGTGCCTATGTCACTGACTCTGGGCCCAGGAGTCCCAGGTCTTGTAATACTACTGGCCAACCATTTCTCCACATAGTTTCACAGGAGTCTATTGAACGTGGTAGGACTTAGCTCACAGCTTCATTGCTGTTTTTCCCTCACTTCTCCTTATCAGTGACCAGCGTGTTCACCAGTCAGAACACATGTCTGCTCATGTATTCCCACTGAGTCTTAGTCTTGGAAGGGGGTGTAGTGCTTTTTAAAATTCATCTCATCCTGAAAATGTTGTTGCTGTGTGACCATTTAGCCTTTAGAAGCCGTGGTGAACCGGTGATTAAGCACTCAGCTGCTACCCAAGGTCAGCAGTTTAGACCTAGGAGAAAGATGTGACAGTATTTTCTTTTCATGACGGATGTGCATTCTAGGAAACTGCATAAGGCAGTTACACTCTGTCCTACAGCATTGCTCTGAGTTGGAATTGACTATACAGTAACAGGCTTGGTTTTTCATTTTGCATTTATAATCTGGCGTTGCAAACTTTCATGAAACTGGCAGGAAATCACATAGTCTCCTTCAAGGGGAAACAGTGAGGCTTGGGTAATTCTCTAGTTCCATCCATTCCATTCTAACTGGAAAATGCTAAAGCAAAACAAAACAAACCCCCAAACAATGACAAAAGACTGTGATTTAAGAACCATGATGTTTGCATAATGATCAGGATACAGCAAAAGTTGGGGAAATAGAATTTTGGGATTTGCTTTTTAGAGATTAACTGATCGTTGGAGAGAAAGATATTAGTAAGTTAGGAATGTGAACCAAATGGAATGTAAGGTAGAAAAAGCAAAACCTACCAAGTTAGGCAGTAGGTAGAGTAGAGGGACTAGACGGGTAAATATGGTCTCAGGAAATGAACCTGCTGTCTGTCTGTATTCAGGGCTATAGGCATGCCGTGACAGAGTTAAGCTGCAAGACACTGAATTTGACATATTGGAAATATACGAGGCTGGTAGGAAATTCTCTCTATTTTGAAATTTATTTTTATATGACTGATACGACTAAGGACTTCTGGTGTGGAGTTGTGGATCAGCATTGGATTGCGAGCCACAAGTTCAGCAGTTCAAACCTACCACCTGCTCCTGGGAAACCCTTTACAGAGTTGTTGTGAGTCGGAACCGACTTGATGGCACTTAACAACAAGACCTAGGAGTCCTGGTATGGTGCTGTAGGATAAGCACTGGACCCAGAGCTGGTTTGAATCACAAGGTCCATGGTTCAGATGCACAAGCCGCTCCTCAGAAACCCCATACAGTGCTGCTATGAGTTGGAACTGAAACAATGGCACTGAACGACAACAAAGAAAGGCCTGGGCAAACATCCCCCAATTCCAAGTGTTTTGTTTTTTTAATTCAACAAAGATCGATTGATTTCTTAGAAGAATTCCATCTGTAAGTTAGTGAAGTCTAGGGAAGCTGTCCTGACTCGTGGTGACCCTGTGTGGAACTGTGTTCCATAGGGTTTCAATGACTGCATTTTGGGAAGTAGACTTCCAAGTCTTTATTCTAAGTCACGTCTGGGTGGAATCGAACCTCCAACCTTTCAGTTAGCGAAGTACTTTAACTCTCGACCCCATTCAGGGTTTCGAAGTCTGGGGAGGGTGGTGGTGGTTTTAATTTTAAAGCTCAGGGAGGCAGGTCTGTGCTTATATGGCAGTGCAGGTTTACAGCAGGAACTAGAGCAAAGGAAACCATGGCATGAAGATAGGAGTCATGAACTTCTTGCTCGAAGACTTGACAAGTAGAATATTTTTATAATGGGACAATTTACTGTTATGAAATTGAATGCTAATACATGATGGTATCAATTTAAATCAGAAGTTTTCAGATATGCTGTAATTTTGTGGCTACTTATGGATGGTATCCTAGACTCCCTAGAAGTATGTTCTTTGTGCTTTGGAGACTTTGGGCCAAAGGTTCTCAGGGTCCTGAGTGTGTGAAATGACAGCACATGCTAAACTGTAAAGGGAATAACCAGTTACCACATCAAGTCAACACTGGTTCTCAGAGGCCACATGATGTCAAGAAGTAGAACTGTTCTCCGTAGGTTTTTACTAACTGATTTTTTGTGATGTAGATCTCCAGCCCTTTCTCCTGAGTTGTGTCTGGGTGTTGGGTGGACTCAAACCACTGACCTTTTAGCAACTCGTGCGTTGGATTTGTTGTTGCTGTTAAGCATTGTTGAGTCAGTTCCTACTCATAGCAATCCCGTATGGGCTTTCCAAGGAGCAGCTGGTGAGCTTGAACCGCCAACTTTGCAGTTCAAATGGCTTTGCAGTATGATGCATTAGCCCACAGCGCCACTCCAGTTCATACATTTTGTTGTTGTTAAGTACCGTGGAGTCGGTTCCGACTCATAGTGACCCTGCACAGGGTTTCCAAGGCTATAAATCTTTACAAGAGTAGAAAGCCTCATCTTTCTCCCATGGAACAGCTGGTGGTTTCGAACTGCTGACGTTGAGGTTGGCAGCCTGACTCATAATCACTATGCTACCAGAGCTCCTTAGTTCATACATGGCATGGTGTGGTTTTATTCCAAACAAAAAGTGTTTACACATATCCCTGTGAGCAATGCATGGCTGCAGACAAGTTCTCTCAGTAATTGTTGTTGTTAAGTGCTGTCAAGTCGGTTGTGACTCATTGTGACCCTTTCTAGGGTTTCTTAGGAGCGGCTGG